AAACCCAGCTAAGAATGGGTGTAGCCTTGTAGAGGCCTGGATTATAGCTGTTTTAGAAGTCCACACCCTCTAGACAAGAAAGGCAAATAGGGGAAACCTTACTTTCACCAATGGTGGGCAGGGCTGAACTGCCTGGTTCTCCTGTTGCTCACATCTATATTTTAAAACTCAACAGCCATGAAGATGACTTTCCAGAACCCAGGGTCTCACCCAGTTTTTATTCAGTAGGAGAGTGACTTGAGGAGGATTGACTAAAAATTGTGGGAAGTAGGTAATCATTGTGAGCTGAGCTAGGTAGGTGGCCTACATTTACCTAAGGCCAATTGATTACAGTAGCCAGCTCTGTACATAGGAAATAGGGTCATGCTCAGTCAAAATGGAGACAGTCGCTCTTCTTTCAAGGAGAGCTGCTCTGGTGGCCCTCCACAGGTAGTTACCCAGCCAGTGACCCCACATACAAACTAGAGTACTCAATGTTTTCTCTATTTCTGGCAAACCATGTGCGCCAAGTAATAATAGAGTTGGTAAAATATAAAAGGCCAGTTTGTTTGAGACAATATACAATGGCCATAAAAGATAAAAGGGATTAAACCTCACATTTAAGAGATATTTGCTAATAGACCTACAAAAAGTTCTAACTCATCTTTTTCATAATTATCCTGTTGTGATTATTTGACTTGTTTCTTTGGCTTTGTCTCCTCCAGACTCAAAGCTATACGTCTACCCAAGACAAAACTGCCTGTCATCTATCGAGGGCCTTTAGCTAAAACCTCTGAAGAATATATCTGATGGCCAGTCAACAACTACGACCCATTTCAGCGTGAAGAAGCCGGAGCGGTCTTCGCCTATATTTCCCTGCCTGGCAGTTCAGGTTACTTCTTCAGAGGGGGGAATGTTGTAGGCAGCCAAGTTAGATAAAAATATTATAGGCAGTCAGACAGGGCCAGGCCTTCGAAGGAGACAGCACAGAAGATGAGATGCCTTATAACTGTGGGAGGGGCAGATACTACTGCTGTGAGCCAGACCTAAAGACCTAAAGGCCAAATAAATGCTAAACGAGTAGCACCTGGATTGATATTCTAAATAGGTATCAATCACCTGGAAAGACCCAAGTGAGTCACTAGCCCAACCCCCAACAGAAAGAGACCCTATCCTGCATTCCAACCCCCAACAGAAAAAGACCCTGTCCCATATGTAATCCCATTGGTTGACCATAGTTTTGTCCCACCTCCTGCCCACCTAAGCGAGTTCCCATTCTCTCTACCTTAGCCTCACATGGTTTTACACTATGAAAGTCCCTGGAAGAGACAGCTTCCCGGGGAACTACCCGCTCGGGTCCCCCTCCTATCCCTCTCTTGGACAGGAGCTTTCTTTCTCTCAATAAATATATTCTGCTCTTAAAAAAAAAAAAAGTCCTTATCTCCATAGAAAAGCTTCTTGCCTGTAGTGTGATTCTGAGTCACCACATTGAATGCTGTGAGACCCACCAGTAAAGAGATGATGCTATGCGTGTCAGTAAAGGCAGACAGCACTAACAGAACACAGTGACCATCAGAGGTCACCACTGACTCACACCTAAGTTCGGTGTGCCCCCATTTACAGTGTGTCCAGCATGACCAGTTCTGCCAGCACGAGAGACAGGGCATGGGCTTGAAGCCCAGAAGTGCACCATACATACTCAAAATAAAAACAAGTGACTTGATTCCTGCCTTGCAGAAATAATGCTTTTTTAAAATATAAGAAAACAACACATATAAGTGAAAGTCCCTTTGGCCAGTCCTCACAGACCCTTGCAGAAACAGTGATGCGACAAGTCTGTGTCTGCTTGTCTTTCACAATGTCACACAGTGTCTGTAGAGCAGCTCTGTTGTGTTTGTGCTTTTGAAAGATGCACAGATTCATCAGGCTGCCTGTGTGTTTTATTTATGTTATGTGTCAGGAACTACCTGCTATGACCACTATATTCTGTTGAATTTATTTTTTGTGTTTTAGGGAAGGGTCTACAGGGTGTTGAGAATCTTACTATTAAATTAGACTCTAGAGGGGGCCTGCCCCTTAGCTCAGTTCTTTAAGTGGCTGCTTCAACAAAGCAGTCAGGCTCAGGTTGCTGTGGTTCCATCCCCACAACTGAAGCCAGCCAAACCTGCCCTGAAGGCATTCGGAGCCAAAAAAAAAAATTAGACTCCAGTGATCAGCCTGCTTACAGTCTCCCAAGAGCTGGGATTATAGCTGCGCACCACCATGCCCAGTCTCAATCGCCCTTCAGTGCGCCCCGGGGGTAGGGCAGGCATGGTAGGCCTTGGGATTGAATCCCTGGCCCCTGCACCTGCTTGCAGGTGCTTTTAATCCGCTGAGCTATTTGGCTGGCCCTATTCTGTTGAATTAATGTGGCACAGTTTATGTGTTTTCCGTGAGCAGGCATCAGGGTGTCCTCGGTGTTTTCTGTAGAAGCGGTGTGGCACGGAGCAGCTCGCCAGCTGGCCCGTGCAGGCTCTGAGCTGCGCACTGTTAGGTGCCGTGGCAGCCTGGCGCTTGGCCCTGGGAAGATTCAGCTTCCTCTTCCGTGTCTGCTGACACTGGCTGCTGTTTATTGTTTGCTCACCAGCTGAGTAAAAAGCATCTTGTTACTTCAGTAGGCTTCCAAGCCTGGGCATTCTTTTCTTGTAGATTTGTATGTCCAGTTCCTTCACCACATATGTTCCCTGCCTGATTTTTTGTTGGGTTGGTGGGCTTTCCCAGAGTGCGTTGCAGGAATTTCACTGTTCTGTCATAGGTTGTACGTGTGTGTGTGTGTGTGTGTGTGTGTGTGTGTGTGTGTGTGTGTTTATTTGAGACAATGTATTGCTGTATAGTTCAAGCTGGCCTTGAACTTACTATGGAGCTCAGGCTGGCCTCAAACTGGCAGCACGCCTCCAGCTTCAGCCTCCTCATTGCTGGGCATGTGGGCATACACTACCACAACCAGCAGTCACTTGTGTTTTAGGGCTGGTTTTCCCTACATTTTTATTAGTGCATATTGGTCATGATGATGGAAGCATTTCATTGTGGCACATTTGTATACACACAGAGCATGCCGCCATGCCCTGCCTCCCCCGCAGCTTCCCCTCTTCCCTTTTTTTTTCTCACAAAATAGTGATTATTTATATTTTCAAAAAGAAAAAATTAACATTTGGAAGTTCTGCCCTGTAGGAAGAGGCTAATTGGCAGGAACAGAACTGGCTCCTATGCAGGCGGCGATCAGGTACGGACAGCTGAGCAGTCTGGGCTGCATTTTATTTCCACACAGCATTTAACATTTAAACATTTTCATAGAGATTTTATTGGTTGTGTTGAGGACCAGTACACATGATTCACTTTGTACACAATTCTTAACACACATGCCAAAAAAAAGCCAAGTATTGTTTTTCAGTTATTCCAGTGTCTTTCCAGCTTCAAATTTAGAGGCACATTTTCTGTAACAGGATTAAGTACCAGTATCTTCAAATGCTGACAAAGTGTCACTTCAGTCCCACCAGTTCACAATTACATCACATACACCGCATACTCAAAGTTTTGATCTTTCACAGCACGATAACAAAATGAGGCAAGCCAGACTACCACTACCAGAGGTGTTACAGAGTGCACACGATTCTGACAGGGCAACAACTAGGACGTCGTTTTCTTTAAGAAACAGTTCTATTAAAAACATGGGAATAGAAGTCATTTAAAGTATCCAAGACATATTAAATGCAGGATTACAATTACAGTCAAACCTGCCATAATTCAGTATCCTACTATTTCTGGTTGTACCAAAAAGTAAACCAGAGAATGATTTCAGCTCTATAAAAAAAGTCATGTACACTTAAAAAATGCAATGAGGTGGGATTTCCTTCTTCTAAAAATTGTTTCTAGAGCTACTAAAAAACTTGCATTTACAAAATAGTTGATAAAAATGTTCCTCTGGACTGTACAAGAAGGGAAACAGAACACTGATAAGACACGGTGTATGATTAATCAAACCTGGCTTCGTTCTCTTCTGCTTCATCAGAAGCTGCGCTCTCCTCATTTTCCGCAGTTTCTCCATTTTCCGCAGGTAAATCTTCCTTGGTTACTTGATCAGCCACTTCACCCTGTTTTCCCTTGGCTCCCGTTTTCCTTTTTGCTTGCACTTTTTTGTCCAAAGATTTATCATTTCCGGCTGCCTTTTTTGGGTTCGTTTCCACGTTAGCTGGAACAGGTTTAGCGGACCACCTCGCCAATCTCCTCTTGGGTCCCCCTTTGCCGCCCCTTCAGCAGAGCTGCCTTCAGTCTTGGGCATCTTGGCGGCGTGGTGGTGGGGGCACCTTGTAGCTCGCCTTTGCTGTTCCTCCTGCCACCAAAGCTGCTGGGCCACATGGGGCGGGGGTGGGGTGGGGGGGAGAACAGGATGAATCAAAATTTTCATTTTCTCTTTTGCTTTTGTTTTGTTTTTTACTTTAGAAAAGGGGAGAAGGGAAGGGAAAACAAAACCAGAGAAAAATGTTAGAAAACATTTTCCACAGTATCTAAAAGCAGAACCATAGTTCTTTGTCAAGACAGTATGAATTCTGGGTGAATTACTTTTTCCAGTTTTCAATGTCAATAAAGATTTCTGCAACAGCTATGACCATCAGCACACTCATCTTCCAGACTGAATCGCCTACTTCCCCTTTGCCTTCACCTGTCACTTTTCACTGGAGGTTAAAGGATGCTCTGTCCTTGTGGGCACTAAGTGCTAGCAGTGAGAGAGCTCTGCTGGGGTTTGTAGGGGGACTTTGGCAAGGCATCTTCCCAAACAACCAAGCTTTAGCAAGTTGGAAAGATTAAAACTTGCTTCTCTCAACCTAGCTACTACCAGAATCCACCACCGATTCTGCAAAAATCCTTTGCTCTTTTTCTTAAAACTAAGCATCTTTTCTTTCTCCAAAGAGTCTGCCCCGTCAGACCAGGCAGTCTCTCGGGGCACTACTGCTAGGATGCACCCAGTGTCAGGGGGTCAGGCCGAAGTGGGCGCAGAGGTGCAGTCCGTGGCTCTCTGCAGTCCAGAAGCCCCGAGTCCTGTGCCCTTCCCTTCCCTCTCTGTCCCCTAAATTGTTTAGTGCCCTTTACAGTCTGGAGCACAGTGCATTCTTTCCCCACAACAGAGTGAAAGCTCCACAGATTGTGCTGTCTACCCAGTGTTCGGGGTGTTTTGGGTCACTCAGCATAGGAACCAAATCAGCCAGACAGAAATTTGAATAGAGCCTTTTATTGGCTGAGCTCAGATACACCAGCCATTTCTCTCGCAGGAGAAGACTGATCAGCGATCAAACATAGTTAGCAGGGAGGTATTTATAACAGAAATCACATCCAGGTTGGTACGCAAATTTGTTATCTAGCACAGAACAACAGAAAGCAACGTTCATTTGACACAGCTGCAAACTGTTACTAAAGGGTCTTTGACAGTTTAGCGATAAGTGCCTATTTTTACAGGATACATCTTAAGCTGACCAGGTTACAGGAGATGAATAGGGAGGGAATTTGTTTCAGCTTGCTGCCTTGACAAGAAACAGTTTTTTATTGTTAAACAGTCTTGAGCTGAGAGGGAGAATATATTTCTTAGAGTAGATAACAGGAAGCACGAGTGTGTTTTATTTATTTTATTTATTTATTATTAGTATTTGTGTGTGTGTGTGTGTGTGTGTGTGTGTGTAGCAGAACCGGGGATTGAACTCAGGCCCTTGCACTTGCCAGGGAAGTGCTTATTCCACTGAGCCATCTCCCTGGCCCCTACAAGGGTGTTTTAATAATTTCCCATAGTTATAATGAAAATTCTGTTAACCCCTTACAAGGGAAATACTTGGAAAATAATTGGAGTCTTATGGCAGGTAGGGTCTTAGGACTGCTTCTGGCGCTTTGGTGGGGGCCCCAAGAAAGGGCACTGTGCTAAGGCCAGAGAGCGGTAGACTTCGGCCACCAAGTGAGGGTGTGACACCACCATGGACTTCCACCCGGAGGTCTCCAGGATGTCTGAAGCGTTATAGTTGATGAAATCCACTGCCTGAGTTTTCAGCCAGTCCACGCCGTGGAGGTCAGCCAGGATGAGGATCTCGGTGGCGTTCTCCACAGAGAGGTTGCTGTGCAGGGCGTGCTCACACATGACCTTCAGGTGCTCCAGGGCATACTTGTCAGCAGCTGCCAGCAAGTCACCCGCCATGGTGTCGAGGTTTGGCACCTTCCCCGTGTAAATGAAGCGCATCATTTCCTTAAGAACTTCAGGCTCCACATCATTGATTTCAACTCGATTCTTTTTGCTCTCCTCCATTTCATGTTCAAACATGGCACTGAAAACTGGAGAACGAGCTGCTAAGATTGCTTTGTGAGCCTTGAACTCCTGGCCAGCGACACACAAGCAGCAGTCCGTGAATCGGGAACTGTCCCACAGCCCCCCGAGCTCATCTGCCAAGCTGCTCTCGGGAACCTTCACCATGTTCGTGGTGTTCTGGCCAGAAATATGGACGGAGTCTTGGAGCACACTCACTTCGCAGAAGAGGGTGAGCTTGTCATCAGGGAGCAGTCCGGTGGCCTCATCCAAAAGAAAATCTCTATGGATGAATTTTTTGAATCCCCAGTCTTTGCCTTGCACAAATTGATAAGCTCGTTGACTCTCCATAGCTTTGGTTTCCTCTTTCTTGGCATTCAAAATGGAGAATTTGAATTTTGCCTGAACAAAATTCTTTGGACAGCTGACCAGTAACAGGTAAAGGGACAGGTAATCTTTGCTCTCTTCATCAAGTCCCTTTGGGTTTACTCGTAAACACCATTTCAGCTTATCATTGGCTTCTGATGAAAAGGTTGAACTTTTAATGGCTTCACCCATTTCCTGTCGGCAAAAGCTAAAGTTAGTGATGGTCCACAGGTAGGAGACTTTCATGACTTTGATCTGTGTGTAGCACCAGCTCTCAGCTGCAGGGCCACTCGACATTTCTGTTGGAGGTAGAGGACTTGGAACCCTTGACATCACCAGTTTGAAAGTTAAACAAACAAAGCTTCCAAAGTCATGGGGCAAAGATTTCTGTTCTTTCTTCACTGGAGAGTGGCGGCAACAGCTGCTGGTTCCTGGTCCCACTGCACTGGCCTCGTTCACCTCATTCTGTTCGCAACATCCAGGACCTGCCGGACCATGATACGTAAATACACACTGAGAGTACGCACACTCACTCACACACATACACACCCCTTTTTTCTAATAATAGTCTCCCTTCTACTCTAATCTTTTTTAGATTCCACATATGAGAGAGAACTGAGCGATTGATTGATTGACTGCAATACCGGGGATTAAACTCTGACCTTGTGCTTGCCAAGCAGGTACTTATACCCCTGAGCTATCTCCCCAGCCTGATATTTATCTAAGTTTGGCTTATTTTACTGAGCATGAGCTCCAGACCCATCCATTTCTCTGCAGACCATGCTTGTTTATAGCAACTGTTATGTGTGTTTGTACCACATTTTCTCTATCCATCTGATGGGCACCTAGGCTGGTTTCATATCCTGGCAGTTATATATATA